AAAAGGGGGGAGAGATGGGGGGGAAAAAGGGATATAGGTTTGTCAGCAGTGGGAGAACCAGGGTGGGGGCGGTTAAAAATAGCCCCTGATCCTGGAGGGTGATGGAGATCACCCCTATTCCTTCAAGCATGTTTTGGACGCTACAAGCCCCCTGATCCTGCCAAACTTTCCCACACCCCATCAACCCCACAGTGAATCCCGTCTGCCCCCCCCCCCCCCCCCCGATTCCCTGACCCTGCTAGTACCTCTGATTCCCTCTGCAGACTCTGCCTGCCTCCTCAAGCCCTCACATCTCTTCTATGGTCCCTGCTTCCCCCCACTGCTGATTCCCTGATCTGCCCCTCTGATCACTTCCCCACAGCGAGGGTACTCCTTGATCCCTGGTCTCTCCCATGGACTCTGCCTCCCCCCAGTCTTTCCACAGACCAACTCCCCCTCCTGAATCCCTCCCTCCTGTTAGCTCCCCTATTCCGACTTACCTTCGATCAGGTGGCCATTTTCAACTCAATCTAACCTCCCCAAATGTCTGTACCCAGCCATGGGTTGTTGCAAAAACAGTTGGTTTAACATTCTCTGTTTTTCATACGCAACCTGTTAAGCAGTTTTGCAAGCACTTGCTGTGCAGTTAGATTACACTTTTCTGGTCTCAAGCCTTACCTTACAAAAAGAGACACACTTCTATTATCTCATTCTTGCGAAGAGTACAAGTAATGCTTAGAAATAATTAAGATTGATTCACTGGAACTATAATTACCATACTTGAGGTCAAATCATACCTTGGGACTGAACCCTACCTAAGGTGTCCAAGAGCATAGTCAACTACATGAGAACATCTTTCACAGAGCTGTTATTTGTTCTTCCCCTGTGTCTGTGGGAGAGGGTGGGTAGAAGGCAACAAATGGGCTGAACCTGAGCTCCAGTCCATCAAAATACTGGTTAGCATAGCAGCATGTTGATATTAGAGAATACCAAGGGTTTATTTCTAGCCCAGGTTGCTTTTTCACTTGGAAGGGATTCCAGAAGACAGATTATGGAATGATCCCTGGTTACTGTATTTAGAAACACAGTGGGTGTGTCTACATGTGCAACTAACGTGCAGTAAGGTTACCGTGCAGTAAAATAAAGTGCAGTAAGATGTGGCCGGTAGCGCATCTGCACGTGCACCCAGTCCTGGGCTGCTCCTGCCCTGTTGTGCTCTCCAGCAGCAGCCAGGGGAAGCTCCAGGCTCCCCCAGGTGCCAGCCCAGGGGCTGGCAGGGAGCACAGGAGCTGGTCCCAATGTGTGCAGAGCCGGGAGATGGTTTTTCCCTTCATCCAGCACAGATCTCCCCGATATCGGAGCTAAGCCAGGCATCAGTGGCCCCTTGCATCTACATGTGCGCTACTGTGCATTACATAATATGCCATGTATCTAGTACTTGTATGTGTTAGTGCTAGCAAACAGCATGTTAGAATAATTTGATACACAGTAAGTCCAGTACATGTGCAGATGGTGACACTTTACTGCTCATTAGATTAGTCTAATGTGCAGTAAAGTGTCTTATGTAGATGTGCCTAGTGAACATGTATCCAGAACTACCACTTAGCATGTAAAAGGAAGATTCTGTATTGAGTTCAAATCACTCTAGTGTAGGCTGTGTGAAGCTTCAGGTGGTGATTTGATTCGGAGGAGATCCGGCCTGATTCGGTGGCCGAATCTCCGCATCTGAATCAAATCAGGGGACCAATTTAAAGGTCCAAATCTATTCAAAGCTCTCCAAATCTTCTGAAAAGATTCGGAGAGCTTTGATTCGGACAGTCCCCAGGAGCTGCAGCCACACTTGGAGCTGGTAAGTAGGGAGCAGGGGAGGGCGGGCTAGGGGAGGGGACCATGGGGGGGACCCCGGCCAGCCCTGCTTCCCTGCCTGCTCCCCCAGCCCCTGCTATGGCTGCCTTGCCTGGCAATTAAAAAAAGCCCTGGTGCTCACCAGGCGGGGGTGTGATCCCCACTGCCCCCCGCACTGCGTGGGGGGCTCTGCATGAGCCCCCTGAGGCTCCCCCCACTCTACGAGATCCCCCATGCCTGCCCCGCCCACTGCGGCTGCAGCCCTTGAAGAAAAAAACAAAAGACGAGAAAAGCCCAGGGACTCACTGCTCCTGCAGTGGCCATGGGGCTTCAGGGGGCTCATGCAGAGCCCCCCATGTGGCATGGGGCAGCAGAAATTATGCCCCCCCTCCCCCCCCAGCAGGAGTGGTGAGTGTGGGTTCTGCCTGGCAGCACCTGGTGAGTCGGGGCTTTTTTTTTCCAATTTTTTTTCCAAAATGTGGGGAGCCATTGCCAGGTGGGGGATGGGCCTGGCTGATTCGGAGATTCGGCAGGAACTGAATGTCTGAATCAGATTTGGCTGAATCGATTTGGGGCAGTGATTTGAATCACTGAATTGAATCTCTGTCTCCCGAATCGGCTGAATCTGAATACTAGCTGGTTTGCATAGGCCTAATGGCTATAGAGATGACAGGATGATAGTAGGAAAATATAGACATAAGAATCTATTTGTAAAGAAATAGCGCTAATGCTGTTATATCAAGCTAGAGGAAATCATTGTAAAAAATGAATCAATTATGAAGACTGATAATGAATAAAAGATTCTGCAAATTCTCCAAAGCAAAGTTCTAATGGTCAGCATATTGTCATTGGGTCAGTCCCATATTACTTTAATATGGCTGCACAAGTGGTTGTTCATAAGTAGAAATGTTAATTTATTAGCAGAAGTTGCATTAAGTGACTTGGTTAAATTAGTAGTTAAACTATAGTTATTCCAGGACCACTGTTTTCTCTAATGCTTAAGCTCTACTAAATTTCTTTAGCTCAGTATTCTGTGTCCAAGTGTTATTGGATCTAATGTACTTGGGGCTCATTCCTGCCTGTAGTTTTGATGATGTGCAAGAGATGAGTCATCTTCCCATTTCACAAGGAACAGGTCAAGACCATTTCAGGGGGTTCAGGAATGAGCAACATGCTTATCAAAGCTAATACATTTACCTGCCATCACTTCCCACTGCTAGCATTAGTAGGCAACTGTCAGTCCTTCTGGATCATGGTGTATATGCGAGAGGTTGCCAGGAGCTTTGACACATATGTCTAGGTAGGAGTATGGAGGAGTGGAGGCTGTCTAGACCTTCCATCCCCCCTTTAGATCATTGAAATAGCCTCCAAAGGCTAGGCCAAGTCCAGATGTTCAGTGCCTTGATGGATGTAGTTATATGCATCTCTAGGAATCCAACCTGGGTCTACTTCGTGGCAGACAAG